TATCCGGAGCAGCTATAGATGCACGAGAAGTTCTCGTAGTCGGTGTCCAGAATCACGTAGGGAGCAATCCACGCTGCAGAGAGGTGAATCGTATTGTTAATCATCGTCTGCTTTTTACTGGGTGTAATAATCATATCTATTTCATGTCTGTTTCAGAACATGATCCTACTGTGAATACTCACATCCTTCATAGTCCACGGACAGATGAGCTTCTCCGAAAGGATTCGGCAGAACCTGGCCATTTCGTGTCATTGGGCTTCCTCTGGCGTCAATACCAGTGGATCTGACGTTGAACTTGGTTCCATCTGAGGAAAGAAGTTTAGCTTCGTGATTCTTTTTAGAAGAGTAAAGTAAGAGTAGGTTAAGTGTGCATGCAAATACAACATTACGAAAAAAAATAGTTCTACAGCTGTAGGACACTCACCAAAGGTATATTCGTTGCGGACACACTGGCGGATAAGTTGGTAAGGGTTGTTTGTGATGGCTATTTCATACCACACGCCAGCATACTGTAAATAATGTAACATATGCACTAGCAAATGTTGTATATGTAATATATGAATATTGTATATCACTATGTCACTTTTAAGATAAAATAGTCTCAGCTTTGAATGATTTGGCTATGGCTGCTGTATAGTAGAAGTTCTATCTGTAATTTATGGAAACTTTATCACTGTTACTTTGGAGACTAAGATAAACTTACCTTTGGATGATTAGGCCTTTGCTGCTCATAGAGGCTTCTCTCGTCAACAAGGGACACTTTCCCGGTACGACGAAGTCGGGGATTTTGTCGGCAGCAGCGAAGGCTGTGAGAGCAAGGAACAGCAGCGAGGTCTTCATGGTGCTCCTGCAGTGTCAGTGCCAACGTGAAGTCTGGTACTTCTTTATATACAAAATGTAGGTGAGGAACGGTGCGCAAGTCTGATAAAGAAATCTTAATTATAACCCCAGCTTAGAAGGAATAAACGTCCATTCTTTTCAGTTATATTATTCAGTTTAAAATTAATCTAGAGATTATTAAAATATTAATCAAATCCATAGGAAAAAAGAGGAAATCACTCCTAATAAAATCCAGCGACATTCGTGATCTTCGGAGCTCCTCCTTCAACTGTGATTTGCATAAGCTTCGTGACATATAAAAGGCATGAACTTGGCGTCAGAATCACACTTCACAAGCCACCATGTTGAAGGCACTCGTAGCTGCTGCCCTCGTGGCTCTTGTCGCAGCCGACGGCATTCCAGACTTTGTAGCTCCTGGAAATTGTGCCAAAGTGGCAAATCAAGACAACTTCGACCTTCGCAGAGTAAGTTCTTTTATTTATTTATTACTTTTTTATTCCATCTTCATTTGTAAACTGGTTTACAGGCATTCTCGTCCTATTACCTAAGTAATATCTATTCCTCAACAGTATGCTGGTCGCTGGTATCAGGTCCAGATCATCGACAACGCCTACCAGCCATACACTCGCTGCATCCACTCCAACTACGACTACTCTGACTCTATCCACGGCTTTAAGTGACCACAGCTGGATTCAGCCCCAACAACGAGTACCTCAGACTGCAGGGCAAGATCTACCCCACAAAGGACTTCCCACTGCCCACATGCTCATTGATTTCCCTACCGTTTGTATATAAAATTATCTTCTATGTATATTTAAACTGCATTATTCTATATAATAGAATCCGAAGAAAGGATATTGACCGATATCTTTTTGTAACTGTGTTGTTCTTTCTTTTACAGTTTTCGCCGCTCCCTATGAAGTGATCGAGACTGACTACGACAGCTACGCCTGCGTGTATTCCTGCATCGACACAGACAAGTACAAGTCTGAGTTCGGCTTCGTCTTCTCCCGAACTCCTCAGAATTCCGCTTCGGCGATTAGCAGGTGCGCCTCCGTCTTCCGCAGGAACGGCGTCGACTTCTCCTTTTCAATCCAGTTCCTCATACATCCGAATGTGTTTACAGGGCTTGAGGTATACATCCCTCTGTTTTTTGTAATCATGTCACAGATAACTTCTACAAATAAAATACAGCTGGTACTTGCAATATGCATTAACACCCCTCCCCCACATCCCCACACACACCCTCACAAAATGGGCAATGGACAAACTGTGATATATATATATATATATATATATATATATATATATATATATATATATATATATATATGTGCGAAGACCTTATATTTTTAGCCGTGCAGGAATAGATGCCTTACACGGTAATATATTTATATGCACTAATGTATAGCAAGTATGGTCACAACTCCTTGGACTTGTACAGTGTACTCTCCCAGTAAGGCGCCGTTTAAAAGAACTCTATGTATGTGTATGTTTACATGCCATTATACATACATACATATTCACATTATATATATATATATATATATATATATATATATATAATATATATATATACATATAATATCATTCATTTATTCATGTATCTATATATACACATCCATGCTCAAATGCATGTGTGTATGTGTGTGTTATATAT